GGCCGTCTCGGCGCCCTCGTGGGGGCCTGTTAGGGCGACATTAGGTGTATCAAATCCATCAAAAACCTAAGGACAATCAATCATTTTGGCGTCCCTTTAGGCTGTGTTGGAAGCCTTGTGGGCCGTCCGGAGGCCATCTTGGGCGTGTTCGAACGATATGTCCTCGTTCCGGGGCCTCTTGGGGGCCTCTTGTGGCCGTTTTCGTCTGTGTTGGGGCTTTCTTGGGCCGTCTGGGGGCGGCCCTGGGCTGTCTCGGCGCCCTCTTGGAAGCCTGTTTGGAAGATTTCTGGGTGTTCTGGACAGTCCTCCTTCAACGTCGGCGGCACTGGCCGTAAGACTTCCTGGGAACATGATTTGCTGGGTGTCGCTGGGCGTCTCCGGAGGCTTCGGGGCCTGACGCGTTTCCGAGCGTGGCGGCAGGTAGCGCTGCTTGGGACTCTAGTTTTTTTATCCTGGCAAGCGTTTATAGGGGGCCACATGCGAACCCTACCCCTACCCCCCACGATTTCTGAGGGCGAGGGTGGGGTTCACTTCGTTCGGGATCTCCCAAGCGAAGTGAACCCCACCCTCCCCCTCAGACATCGCGGGGGGTAGGGGTAGGGTTCACGCATGGCCCCCTAGATTAGGGAACATGGTTTGGGGAGAGGGCGGCAACCCGAGAATCATGTTCCTGGGAAGCGTTCCGGGATCATGATTTGTTCGGCTCTCTTAAGAGGGGGCCTCTGGGGGCTTACCGAGAGGCCCTTTTTGGCCTTGTTGGCAAGCCTATTGAAAACATGGTTGGGGCGGTGGGCGGAAGCCCAAGGAATCATGTTCCCGGAAAGCTCCTTGGGAAATGCGATTCACCGAGATCTCTTGGGGGGCCCGCAGGGGACTTCCCTGGGGGCCCCTTGGGGGCTTATTGGGGCTTCCCGGGGGCCTCTTGGGAGCCTCACGGGGCACCAAGGGAGCCTCTTGATGGCCTCCGGGGGCGTCCCAGGAGCCTCTCAGGCCGGAGACCTTGAAATGTCGCGCTCTTCGGGCCCTCTTGGGTCGCTCTTGGGGCTCCCTTGGGGAGCTCTCGAGGACCTCTTGAATTATCTAGGGAGCCTCCTGAGATCTCTGGCCTTTCTTGGGAGCCTCTTCGGCCGTCTTGGAGCGATCTGAAGGGCCTCTGACGCCGTCCGGGACCGTGGGGAGGCGGAACATGCGAGAGCGCACAAATGCGGGGCCCTTTTGGAGGGGCCTCTGGAGGCGCTCTTGGGGCGTTTTGGCGGCGCCGTCGGCTGTCCTGAGGCCATCTTCGGCGTGTCCGGGGCCTCTTGGGGCTGTCTTGGCAATCTTGAGGGCCCTCTTGGCGTGTCGTGGCGTCTTTGGGAGCGGGCCCGGGCAGTCCCAGGAGCCCTGGGGGCTGTTGAATGCTAGGTGTTGTCTTGGAGGCAGAGGCTGTTCAGTGCAGGGTGGCGCGTGCTACGCGGAAGGCGGGCGAGCGGCCGGGCGGGTGGCGGGCGGGCGGGCGGGTGGCGGGCGGGCGGGCGGGTCGGGATTTGAATGAATCCCACCAGCCCTTTGGGCGTGAGTGGTTTAGAGAGCCCGCTCTGTCCTCAACCCCCCTTCTTCCCCTTCGGGGAGGGGTGTACCCCTCCCCCTACCCCCTCCCCCTGGGCCTGGAGAGGGGGGGCCGCGGGTCGTTGGAGGGGTCTTTTCCGACTCCTGGGTGGGCTAAAAAACGACGACCCTCACGAGGATTCTGGCCCCGACAGGGGGGGCGGAGATAGGTCCCTCTCCCCTTCTTCGAAGCCAAAATCATTGATTGTACTACGGTTTTGGCCCCATTTTGGCCTCCTGAGGGGGCCGCGCTCATCTTCCTTCATAGCAAAATCATTGATTTTACGAAAATTTTGGGCTCATTTTGTCCTTCTCAGGGGGCAGCGCTCCTTTGCGCTTCTGAGGAGGTCGCAAGAGGCCCCAAGATGGCCCCAAGACGACCCCAGGAGCCTCCCAAGAGGCCTCCAAGAGCCCCCCAAGAGACCCCCAAGAGGCCCCAAGAGGCCCCCAAGAGGCCCCCAAGAGGCCCCCAAGAGGCCCCCAGAGGCCCCACGAGGCCCCCAAGAGGCCCCCAAGAAGCCCCCAAGAGGCCCCCAAGTGGCCCCAAGAGGCTCCAAGAGGCCCCCAAGAGGCCCCGAACGACTCACACCACGAAGAGCCCGAACGACTCACACCACAAGGAGGGGCCCGAACGACTCACACCAGGACGAGGCGCCCGAACGACTCACACCACGAGGAGCCCGAACTACTCACACCACGACGCGGGCCCCGAACGACTCACACCACGAGGAGCCCGAACGAGTCACACCAGGAGGAGGGGCCCGAACGACTCACACCAGGATGAGGGGCCCGAACAACTCACACCACGAGAAGCCCGAACGACTCACACCAGGACGAAGAGCCCGAACGACTCACACCACGAAGAGCCCGAACGACTCACACCAGGAAGAAGGGCCCGAACGACTCACACCAGGACGAGAAACCCCAAACGACTCAAATCACGAGGAGCGCTTTCTCTCCCTCCTCCTCCGCCTCGTCCTTCTCCCGCTCCCCCCACAAGGAGGATGTACAAGGAGGCGGGAGGAAGGAGGAACAGGGGAGATATGCGGGGCCAAGCGGACACACGCCTGAAACACACGACTGTCGGCATGCTTCGCAAGAGTTGCTGCTGTGAGATGGGCTCGTGGGGATACGCGAAGCGTAAAGAATTCCTTAAGGATGCTCTCTTGCAGCGGGAGCTTGTTGAGTACAGGGTGTTGCCTTGAAGACGGGGGCTGTTGACTACAGGGTGTTGTCTTGGAGACTGAAGCTGTTGAGTACAGAGTGGTGCGTGCTACGCGGACGGCGGGCGGGCGGCGGGTGCCCTAGGTGGTGGGTCAGAGGCCTCATGGGTGTTGGTTTGGATCTCGTGGTTGGCCTGTCGGGGACGTCGTGAAGGCAGTTTCGCAGCTTCTCGGCAGCCGTTTTGGGACCGTTGTGGGGCCTCCTCGGGGCTGTTTTGCCGCCTCTTGAAGCCTCGTTTGGGCCTCCTGGGTGCCTCTCGGGAGCCTCCTGGGGCCTCTTGGGGGCTCTCTGGAGCCTCCTCAGGCACTCTTCAAGCGGAAAGGTCGAATTTTGGAGTCTTGGGGCCGTCTTGGGGCTCTCTTGGGCTGTCTTGGGCGCCTCTGGGGCCGTCTGGGGGCCCTCTTGGGCCGTCTTGGGGCGCTCTTGGGGGCCTATTGGGCCGTCTTCGAACGTCGGACAGCCGAAAAGGCTGGAAGGCCAAAACCTTTCCAAAACCTTCGTAAAATTGACGATTTCGGCCACTTGAAGCGCTCTGGAGAGGCGTCTTGAAGCGTCGTGGAGTGCCTTGGGGGGGCCTCTCGGGCTGTCTTGGGCCTTTCTTGGGCGTCCAAGAGCGGTCTTGCGGCGACTCGGGGCCCGCTTGGGCCATCTTGGGAGCCTCTGGAGGCCCCCCCGGACTATTTTGGACCTCCCCGGCCGCCCCGTCCTCACATAGGGGGTCGGGGCAACTGTTTGTGGGCCCTGGGCCTGCCCCCCAGGGACATGTGTATATATATATATATATATATACATACATACATACATACATACATACATACGTACATACATACATACATACATACATACATACACACACATACATACATACATACATACATACATACATACATACATACATACATACATACATACATACATACATACATACATACATACATACATACAAACATACATACATACATACATACATACACATAGATAAACAAATATTCCGAACAATGGTCAAACATAGTCCCAGACATGCGGCGTCCCCAGGACCGGTATTTCGTCCTGAGTCGATGTTGTTGACGGCCCTGAGGCCCGGCGAGGGCCCCCCATAGGGCCGAAACTAACCCAAAAAACCTCCCGGTCCTGCTTTCTTGACGACGTTATCAAGTCTGGGGTCGAAACATCGTCCTCCTCCTCCTCCTCCTCCTCCTCCTCCTCCTCCTCCTCCTCCTCCTCCTCCTCCTCCTCCCCCTCCCCCTCCTCCTCCCCCTCCTCCTCCTCTTCCTCCTCCTCCTCCTCCTTCTCCTCCTCCTCCTCCTCCTCCCCCCCAAACTATGTTTTGACACTTCTTGGATGCCTTCGGTTAGAGAGAAACGTGCCCGCCTTGAGAGCGGAGGGCAGTCGGTCGACCACCGCCCAGAGTCGGGTGTGCCAGGGCCCCTACAGGGAGATTTTCGACGAACCAAAAATACCCCCCCCCCCCAAAAAAAAACACCAAAAAGGCCAAACAAATACTCAAAAATAGTCCCCTGACTATTTTTTGATGTTTTGATTATTTGTGGGTTATGTTTTATTTTTCGTCGGGGGACAGGCCCGACTTAAAGGTAGTGCACGTCCCCCCACAGGCGGGTTTTGGACGAAGAGGTAGAGCAAATAGTCCAATGATATTATAAAACATAGTCGAGAAATAATCGAAACATCGCCCCCAGACTATTTTTCAGTATTTTTGTTTGATGTTCCTCCTGTGGAGGGACGTGTCCGACTCAAGTTTAGAGGCCTCGTAGATGGGGTCCGAGCAGATGGGGTCGGAGGAGCGTGCCGCATCGCCAACGCATCGGCGATGCATCGCCGATGCATCAGCGATGCATCGGCGACGCCGGCGTGGAGAAACTCGGGCTCCACATCGAGCCGCATCGCCGATGCATCGCCGATAAGGCGCGATCCTCGGACCCCATCTATTCGGACCCCGCCCAGGAGGACTATAGTTACGCTCGCAACCTCGAGGGCGGTGCCACCACACGACAAAAGGGGCCCCAGGACACACAAATAAGTACACACAAATAATGTGTTCCCCATAGTTTCCCATATTTGTCTGGTTTTCGCCTTCCCCCCCACTTCCCATATTTTCTTATATTTTCTCGGGAATCGACGATTAATTTTGTCTGTGTGTTTTTTCCCCTCCTGAACAACGGCGTGCTCCATTATCGATCGCGCTGCGCCGCGGCCCGCGCCCAGCCACTCGCCACCTCTGGTGCCGCCCGCTGCCTGCTGCCGCGAACCAAAAAAAAACCATCGCGGCACCGGCACCGCCACACAGGGCCACACACCAGCTCGGCCCCAGCGGATGGAGAGGAGGAGGAGGAGGAGGAGGAGGAGGAGGAGGAGGAGGAGGAGGAGGAGAGGAGGAGGAGGAGGAGGAGGAGGAGGAGGAGGAGAGAGAGTGGCATCGGCAACGAACGCTGCGCCGCTGCCGAGGCTGCTCGGAGGGGTCCCGCTGCCACGGCGCCGCGCCACCGGACTCGGCGATCGCGTCGAGAATCTTCTCCGCAAGCTGCTACCACGCCGCTGACCCGGATGCCAGCATCACCGGCGATTGCTCCAACAAAGCTGAGCTCGACGACACTGTCGGCTCGGTCACGGAGACCGCGGCAAAGGCTAGCCAGAGCGATCTCGCTGCCATAGCGCCGCACCACCGTGCTCGGCGATTGTGTCGAGAACCTCGTCGGCAAGCTGCTCCGACGCCTCCGACCCGACTGCCGACACCATCGGCGACAAATCCTTGGCATGAGAAGAATGGGTCCTTTTTCCCCTGGGATCAGCTCTCCGTCCGGAGGCGCTTTTCAACAGTTCAGGGACTCAAGAGTTACAAGGCGCTTTGGTGTTGTGCTTTGGATTCATGCTTTCTCAGGAAAGGGTCATTAGTTCGATGTTCGACCTGAGCTACCAGCAGTGCCTGCTGAATCCCTTATGGATCCTTATTGCCACTGGCTCAGGGTCATCGAACCTAGCCCTGATTGTTTCAGGACGGCGCCTCAGGAAGTCCTTTTTCCTGGGATCGGCTCTTCGTTCTCAATCGTTTTTTTGGCGGCCCCGAGGCCCAGCGAGGGCCCCCCCAGGCCGAAAATGAGCCAAAACCTCTCGTTCTGATTTGTTTAACGGCACGATCATGTCTGGATCCAGAGGCGCGCTTCAACAAAACAGGGACCGAGGGAATGCCGTGCGGAGGTCGGGGACGGCCACAAGGAGCGGGACCCGTCTACTCTGGGACACGGAACGTTCGGCTGCACATGAGGGCGACCCCAAGCATTAGGTCGGGCGTGTCCGCCGACAGGCGGGTTTGGGACGAAACGATGAAGGATAGTATAAAACAGACAGACTCAAACAACTAGAAAAATCGTGCCCAGACTATTTTAACTAATCTTGGTTATTTCTCCTGCAGAGGGATAGGCCCGACTGAGCCCAAGCACGGGTGACCTTTCGCGCGGGCCAACGCAATCGCGCGAGCTGCTGCTGTCACACCGCATCAGCGATCGGTGGGACGCGCCTTGAAAGATTCTGAGCGTCAGGGGTCAACTGCGCAAGTCCGTCAACACGACGCGGGTGCCCCGACTGGTACCCCGAAGGCGCTGCGAAAGCAGACGCTGCTGGGCGCGACCACGATGGGAGCTGGCACTGCCAAGCCGCATCGCGATGATGTCTGACCACCAAGTCCGGTGTCGTGACCAAAACCGAGCCACCCGCGGGACCCCCGCGGGCGCGAATGACTTTCAACGGAGAAGAGTTCGATTGGCCGGGACTCCTAATCTGTGCAGGCTTTTCAAAACTCACCCTGGCTGAACAGATCAGGCTTTGGGCTGGGGTTCGGGGCCGATCCTGGAGCGGCAAAAGCGCCGCTCAGTCGACCAGGCCCACCCTCGGAAAACCAAGGCGCGCTGTAGGATGCACTGCGCATGCACAGGGGCACAAACAAACAATGACATGAACATAAAAAACTCTGAGGTCCACGCTGATTCCTCGGATCGGCGCTGGGGCGCCCTGGCGGCGCCTCCAGCGCCGGCCCTGGCGCGCTCCGCGCGCCAGGGAGGGGGGTCCAGCCCCGATCCGAGGACTCCGCGCGGACCTCCGACAGCCCATGTGATCTCATTGCTTGCTTCTCGAGAAGAGGATCAAGCTTCGATGTTGATGTCACTGCTTGCGCCGAGCTCTTGTTTTGATGCCGTTGTCTGTTCCCCCCTATGCGCTGCGGTCGATTGCGAGGGGAGGCCCGGCCCGAGCAGCGCGCCCCGAGGCGAGCGCAGCCCCACGCCGCGCCCGCCGACGCGAGGCCGGGCCCACTACTGAACATGAGTTGCCCGACCACCTACGTCAGGTTCGTGTCGTGCCGACTTCGGCGTTGGTTTCTGCCATCGCCGGGATCGTTCAACCTTGAACGATCGGCCGTTGTCGAAACGTCGAATCGTTCCACATCGAAAAATTCTGGGTCGCCCGCGGCGTTCAACGTTGAACGCCGGCGGCGGGGTCGCCGCGGGTCGACACGACACGAACCTACCGTACGGGCCAGTACCAAATGAGCATTGTTTGTCGGACCCGTATCACCAACGGCGTGGCCTGCGCCCACTGACCGATTCAGCCCCCAGGATGGGGATGTACGTAGGCAGTTCCCTTCGGGTCTCGAGGGGAATCTCCCCACTGGGGTGGGAAAGTGGACGGGCTCGGGATGGGGATGGGGAAAGGGGGCCGGTTAACTAAACAATGCTGACCACAGGACACTACGGGGCAGGGTCCCTCTTGTTGGAGGCGGCCAAGCGGTCTGAGCTGAATGGGCTCTCAGATCTGCCAAGACAAGGGGATCACAGCAGATCCATTCAAAACATCGGCCCCCCCTCCCCTTCCTACGGGTCATCTGGTGCAACGCCTCACCCCAGATCCGGTTCTGACGGTCCTGGGGATCGAGCACGGCCCCCGGTGGCCGACAAAAAGGCAAACGGCTTCCCCGAACCCACTACCAGCCTGGAACATATCCCCTATGCCTCTGCTGGGCATCCCCCCACCACGATGCCAATCTTTGAGGGCGCACCCCTGAGATTGCCATCGCCCTTTGGCGTGCCCATCTTAGGGATAGAGGGGCAAGCTCAAGGCTGGCAACAGCACCTGGGACCTCGCCCCCCTCAATGCTGGCCAGGACCCGCACATGGGCCACCCCCGACCCCCAGCCAGCTCAACCAGGCCAGCCACAACTCCTCCTCCTCCTCCTCCTCCTCCTCCTCCTCCTCCTCCTCCTCCTCCAGGTTCGAGGCTCGAGGCTCGAGGTTCGAGGTTCGAGGAACTGCAGGAGCTGTGGTCCTTACCCCCCTGGGGGACCCATCGATCTCGACACCCCTCTCGAGAGAGCGTCGATGCGATGGCTTCCCCCAGGGGGGTAAGGACCACAGCTCCCCCGGTGATGGCTGGTCGGTCAACTCTCACGTGCAGCCGACTCGATCGCCATCGCTCGGACGTCCACACACCGTGCCTGCCTCGGCTTCGCGCGTGCATTTTTGTTCGCAGGGTGGCCCCATAGTTATGCTCCTCGACGGCCTTTGCCGAGAAAAGTTGCACACGTCCGAGCGATGCCAAGAACTCTTCCCAGACATGCGACGCCCTGATTGCTTCAGGACGGCGTCCCTGGAAGTCCCGACTCCTTCCCCCGGGGGACCGGCTGTTCTTCCCGAGTCGGTCTTTGACGGCCCTGCGGGGGCCCGGCGAGGGCCCCCCCGGATCCGAAAGTGGCCCCGGACCTCCCGCCCTGACTTCTTCATTCTGCGACGCGAGCACCTCCGGGAAGACCTCTTGCGTGCAGCCCACTTGTTTGGGCGCCCGAGTGATCCGGGGCAACTCGGGTCCGGGGTAACGCGGGCTTGGATTCCCGAAAAAACGAACCCGAGTTAGCCCTGACCCGAGGTGCCCCTGATGATTTGGGGCTCTGGACGCCCGAGTTATCCGGGGTAACTCGGGCCCGGGGTAACTCGGGCTCGGATTCCCGAAAAACGAACCCGAGTTAGCCCTGACCCGAGGTGCCCCTGATGATTCGGGGCTCTGACTTGTGGCGAGCTCCAGCGACGGCGAGCTCGACGCTGCCGGCGGCACGCCCCGCGGCGCCGCGGCGAGAGCGCCGGGCGGCGGGCCGGCCGCGGCGGTCGCCGCCGGGGCCTCCGCGTGCGCGCCGCGGTCGGGGCCGGCGCCCGCGCCGAGCCGCTGCGCCAGCGAGGGGTCGAGCTGCCAGATGCTCAGCAGGTCCTGGCGCTCCTCGGCAGGGCGAGGAGGTCCAGGGGCCTTCCCAGACACGCTCGCGTCGTGACGACAAAGAAGTCAGGGCGGGAGGTCCGTGGGCCACTTGCGGCCCATCAGGGTGGCCCTCGCTGGGCCTCGGGGCCGTCAAGACACGACTCGAGACGAGAAGCCGGTCCCAGGGAAAGGGTCGGGACTTCCAGGGACGCCGTCCTGAAAACATCAAGACGTCGCATGTCTGGGGGGGGGTGGGGGCCTTGCGCCGCGGAGAATTCCAGGGGACTCGCGCAAGCGTCTCTTTCACTGAGGCCCTGGGTGGAGCTGCTTTCAGGAGGAAAAGAAACACACAGACACAATGAATCCTCGATTCTCCAGAACAGATGGGGAAATATGGGAAGTGGGGGGGAAGACAAAAGCCCAGAAAATACAGGAAAATATGGGGAATCTATTTATTTGTGTGTGTGTGTGTGTGTGTGTTTATTTGTGTGTCCTGGGGCCCCTCCATGCTTACTGGGCCACGAACCGTGTGAGGGCTGCGCCGGCGCGGTCTGAGCACGTCGTCGCCGTCGTCGGCGGCGGCGGCGTCGTCGGCGGCGTCGGCCAGGAGGGGCGTGCGTGTGCCGATCTCGTCGCCCCCCGTCCTCGAAGGACGACATGGCCACGGAGGCCGCAGAGGCGTCCCCCAGGGACTCCTCCATCGCCCTCGCGGCGGCCAGCGGCGAGGCCCTCCACGAGGCGGGGCAGGAAGCTCGGGAGCGGCCAAAAGGGGGGTGTTCAAGAGGGGGGGGTGCAAATCATGACCGGCGGCATGTGCGCGGCCCAGCGGGGGGGCCAGGGACGTAGTGACATAAGAAGAGGCGCCGTGAGATCTGGGGACATGTCAGGGCCCCCGCCATGAGATCCCCCCCCCCCTAGCCATCACCCCCCCCCTCCTTGCTGCCCCCGAGCAGCGGGCCCCGAGGGGAGCGGGCCCCGGCACCTCTGAGGGGCTTTTCTCCCCCCGGGGGCCGGTGCGTCACAGCGAATACCTGGCTTGCGGACGGCCCCGGGGCCCGTGCAGGGCGCCCGAGCCCGAGACCTTCACATCATTACTGCGCTCGCTTTTCGCGCGCGCTGGAAGGCAGACTTCGGGGGCTCGTCGCGCGTATGGTTCGGTCGGGCGTGCCCTCCTAATTACGGGCGAATGTTGGGCGGCACATGGAACACGGCCAAACACATGCGGAACTTCACAGGAGCAATAATGGACAAGTCGTTCCCTGGCTATGTTTGAAGGGGCCCCAGGACACACAAATCAATACACACAAATAAAAATATGCCCCATATTTTCCCATATTTTCTGGGTTTCTGTCTTCCCCCCCCATTTCCCATAGTTTCCAATATTTTCCGGGGACTCGAGGATGAATTGTGTCTGTGTGTTTCTTTTCCTCCTGAACGTTTTGGAACTAGTTTTGAATCTTCCCCCTGTAGAGGGGGCACGCCCGATTCGAGCTTATGGGTCTCTTACGGACACGCCTGCAGAGCGCGCGAGGGCACGAAACACCCCCGCGGCGGCGTCCCCCGGGACGGCGGGCGTGCCGCAACGAGGACGCACCATTCGTGCGCACGCCAGGGAGACGCAGCCGTGCCGGCTCTGCCCCTGCCATGCCCAAGACGCTGGGACGCCTGGTTGACGGGCCGACGTTCCCCCCCAGACATGCTCGCGTCGTTAACAAAAAAACAGGGCGGGAGGTTCCTCTCTTGTTTCGGCCCTTAAGGGGGGTCCTCGCTGGGCCTCGGGGCCGTCAAGACACGACTCGAGACGAAAAGCCGGTCCCGGGGAAAGGGTCGGGACTTCCAGGGACGCCGCCCTGAAAGCATCAAGACGTCGCATGTCCGAGACCGGCTGGGACCACCATTACCATAGGTAGCAGAGTGAGGAGGAGGAGGAGGAGGAGGAGGAGGAGGAGGAGGACCTCCCTATCCGCCCTTGTCCCCCGTCCTACCTACGGTAGTGGTGTGGTGGAAACTTTGCCCATCACTGGTGACAGACCGCGGGAGGACCTCAGAACCTGCAAAACCTCACCGCATGGGACCCTGGAGGCCCTAATTAACTGCCCGAGGCGCCGGAGAACAGTCCAGGTCCGAACACCGCGCGGCGACCCCGAGTCTCCACCGACCAACCACGCGCTGTGTGGTCACCACGCTGCTGGGGGGACCCCAGGGGCCCCAGGGCAGGCCCCGCGGCGGGGCAGGCCCCGGGAGGCCGAAGGTATACCCTAGCAAAGCACAAGGTGAAGAGGCGGGTCGAGGATCGGGGATGGACAGACCCCCCTTTAGTAAAACGTGGTTTAGTGAAAAGGACCTGAGGCCCAAACCTGGCGGGCGCAAGCCTGGAAAATGACGGCCACGGCGCCCTCTCGAGAACCGAAAACGGACAATTCACTGATCGACGTGTCACTGTTGGGGCTTCTGTCCACCCCCGAGAGGAGTGGGAGGTCGGCCAGTGACCGGGAGCGGCCAAGAGGGGGGTGTCCAAGAGAGGGGGGGGCGCAAATCATGGCCGGCGGCACGTGCGCGGCCCAGCGAGGGGGCCAGGGACGTCAGGAAGCAAGAAGAGGCGCCATGACATCAGGGGAACCATGAGATCCCCCCCCCCTAATCAGCACCCCCCTCCTTGCCGCCCCCGAAGTGACAACGTGCACCCCAGATCCCAGGCATGCTCGCGCTGTAGCAAAATCCGGGCGGGAAGCTCTTGGTCCTCTTCGGCCCCCCGGGGGGGCCCTCGCTGGCCTCGGAACCGTCAAAGCAACGACTCGGGACGAAGAGCTGGTCCCGCGGAAAGGGCTGGGACTTCCAAGGGCGCCGTCCTGAAGAGATCAAGGCGTCGCATGTCTGGGAGTATTCCCAAGGGTCCCTGGGCGACGCACGGTCATGTGCACCTTGATCCCACCAGCCCTCTGGGCGTAGGTGGTTGAACGAACTCTTCCCTTCTCTGTGCCAAAACCCCTCCGGCCCCTGCTAGGGGGAGCAGCTTACCCTCCCCCTACGCCCTCCCGTGGGCCTGGAAGGGGGGGGGGAGTGCGAGGTGTCAGAGCGTTCTTGTTTGTCCCAGATGGCTCCAAGAGGGCCTCCGCGAGTGCAAGATGGCCTCCAAGACGGGTCAAGATAACTCAAGATGGCTCAAGATGCCTCGGTACACATACAACAACGGCCCCAAGACGGTTTCAAGTGCCCTCCGAGCTCTCCAAGGACCCCCCCAAGAGACCAAACTGGCTTCAAAACCTAAGGAAAACCCGCGGTGTGCCTTCTCGCTATTTCGCTTCCGATGGGCATTTGAGGTCTCAAGATGGCCCCAAGACGGCCCAAGAGAACGAGGGCCCCAAGAAAGCCTCAAGAGCGCTCCAGGAGCGTCCAAGAAGGCCCCACGACTGCATTTTTGAGCATCCGAGTGGGGACCCGAATTGGGACCACCACCCCTTTTTGAACAAGATGGCCCCAAGAAGCCTCCCAGACCCTCCCAAGGAGCCCCAAGAGGGCCCCAAGACCCCTTCAAAGGAGCCCCAAGGGTGCCCCAAGAGGCTCCGCGAGGACCCCAAGAGAGCCCCAAGATGGCTTCCCACAGACATCCGAGAAAACGCTTCCAGGGCGGTTGTTACACTGCATGCCTCTACACTCCCTGATGAAGGCAACTGGCCCAGCGATCCGTCTCTGGATGGGCTGGTGGGGATACGCGATGCATCAACAATTCTTGAAACAAAAGATAGCCGTCCAAACCTGAAGTGTGGCCGGCATGGGCAGGAGAACAACACGAACCATAAACATACACGTTTGGCTCTCCGCGCGGATTTCTTGGATCTGCGCTGGACCCCCCTCCCTGGCGCGCGGAGCGCGCCAGGGGCGGCGCCGGAGGCGCCACCAAGGGGTCCCAGCGAAGATCCAAGAACTCCGCGCGGAGCGCCGAACGTTTATGATTGTGGGGTTTCTTCTTCTTCGAGTCGAGAGCTCTAGACCGAAAGTGTAGCCGTCCAGACCGAAAGTGTAGCCGGCATCGAGGTGGAGGAGAAGGAGGAGGAGGAGGAGGAGGAGGAGGAGGAGGAGGAGGGAGGAGGAGGAGGGGGGAGGAGGAGGAGGAGGAGGAGGGGAGGGGGGGGGGCGGAGAAGGAGGAGGGGGAAGAGGGGAAGAGGAGGAAGAGGAGGAGGAGGAGGAGGAGGAGGAGGAGGAGGAGGAGGATGAGGAGGGGAGAGGTAGGAGGGAGGAGGAGAGGAGGGAGGAGGGGAGGAAAAGGAGGAGGAGGGAGGAGGAGGGACGAGGAGGAGGAGGAGGAGGAGGCGGAGGAGGAGGAAGGGGAGTGGGAGGAGGAGAAGAGGAGGAGGAGGAGGAGGAAAGAGGAGGAGGAGGTAGGAGAAGGAGGAGGAGGAGGAGAAGGAGGAGGAGGAAGGTGGCAGATGGCGGGTCCAACACTCTGTTGATGTGCAGTTTTGTTCGGCACCCGTGGCCCAGGGAAGCGGCCAGACGAGTGTACACTAATAATTGCGCTGTCCCCGTGGCGTTCCTGAGAGGCCCCGTGGGGCAGGGCGATGTCCGGATACCTCAGTGTATACGCGCGTGGTTCCTATTTGGGCAGCTCGTTCCATACTAGCGTTTCGCTGGTGGGCTCCTCCTCCTCCTCCTCCTCCTCCTCCTCCTCCTCCTCCTTTAGAACATGGTGTGGCCATGTTCCTGGTCCCGAACCCAAACTCCAGGGTTAGGTCTGGCATGCCCTCCTACAGGCGGATTTCGGAGGAATTACCCGGGCGACGTACCCAACCCCTGCGCAATGTGGGGCATGAGTAGCTTGGGAGACGTTATACGGAGGTGATGACGTGGCATGGGCGCATATTCTTCTGCGAGCGGCATTCGTGAGGCTCGCAGCCCCCCAAAGATTGCGAGGTCCCCCTCAGATCTGCACGGTGCCTCACTCCGCTGGATCCGCCACCAACCTTCGAAAGTAGCGACGGTTTCGCAGATCGCAGCCCCCCGGGAACGGCGAGGTCCCGCTCAGATCTGCGCGGTGCCTCACTCCGCTGGACCCACCAGCCGTCCTCGAAATTAGCGACGGTTTCACAGATCGCACCCACCCAGGAAAGATGAGGTCCCGGACAGATATGCGTGGTGCCTCACTTCGCTTGACCCAGCTTTCGAAAGTGGTGTCAAGATCGCTACGCTGGCCCCCCAAGTAGCCCTCGAAAGTGGCGACGGTTTCGCAGATCGCAGCACCCCAAGGACGGCGAGGTCCCGCTCAGATCTGCGCGGTGCCTCACTCCGCTGGACCCACCAGCAGCCCTCGAAAGCAGCGGCGGTTTCGCAGATCGCAGCCCCCCAGGGCCGGCGAGGTCCCGCTCAGATCTGCGCGGTGCCTTACTCCGCTGGACCCACCAGCAGCCCTCGACAGTGGCGACGGTTTCGCAAATCGCAGCCACCAAAAGGACGGCGAGGTCCCGCTCAGATCTGCGCGGTGCCTCACTCCGCTGGACCCACCAACAACCCTCGAAAATGGTGACGGCTTCGCAGATCGCAGGCCCCCTTGGGAACGGCGAGGTCCCGCTCAGGTCTGCGCGGTGCCTGACTCCGCCGGACCCACCAGCAGCCCTCGAAAACAACGACGGTTTCGCAGATCGCAGCTCCCCAGGGACGGCAAGGTCCCGCTCAGATCTGCGCGGTGCCTCACTCCACCGGACC